GACTCAAGAATTTTCATTAACATCCACAATTCCAAAAGCCCCATTTGATGAAGCATATTACCCACCTCCTGACAGAGGGTTGACGGACTCATGATGCAAGTTGAGACATACATTTTTAAACATAGCCAATGTAAGAATCTGCTTTGTTTGACTATGAATATTTATTACAAGGATTTTCTTTTTCTTTTTTAATAGGATGGAGAGATGGGAAGGAGACAATATAAATGCTTATAAATTGAAAAAAAATAACATTTAATTTAAAAAGACTAGACCACAGAATGGACTAAGATTTGTTAAAAAAAAAAAGAAAGAAAGAAAGAAAGAAAAGAAAAGATAAGAACCGGAAAAAAGGTGGCAAAAAAAGCTATGTTGGAGACAGATAATATCAAAGTAAGGACAAGTAGTCCTGCTAGGGTGGATGGGATAGGTGAATAGATGGTAGAGAGAAAACAGAACTACTCAACTCCTATTTTATTTCTGTTTTCTATTTGGGCTGGAAAGGATAAAACCAAAAAAGGAAATTGTTGTGGGAGAAGAAAGCAAATTTATGTGAGGAGGTAGCAAAAGGGCTCCCTGGCACAAAAAGGCAGCATGACATCCTGGATGCAATAAATCCTAGGGAACTGAAAGGGCTTACTGGCTATTGTTGAACCCTCATCTACTGTGTTTAAGAAACAATAAGGGGGCAGCTAGGTGGTGAAGAAGATAGAGCACTGGCTCTGGAGTTAGGAGGGCCTGAGTTCAAATCCGACCTTTGACACATAACACTTACTAGCTGTGTGACCCTGGGCAAGTCACTGACACGGATAAGAGAGAAAGAGAGAAAGAGAGAAAGAAAGAAAGAAAGAAAGAAAGAAAGAAAGAAAGAAAGAAAGAAAGAAAGAAAGAAAGAAAGAAAGAAAGAAAGAAAGAAAGAAAGAAAGAAAGAAAGAAAGAAAGAAAGAAAGAAAGAAAGAAAGAAAGGAAATGAGAAAGATGCTAAAGAACTGGAAATAAGCAAATGTCCCGGTTTTCAGAAAAAGGAGGAGGTAAATTCTGAAAGCCTCAGTCCACCGGGTTTGGCATCAAACGCCAGCAAAATCCTAGAATATCAGATGATCATTTAGCAGGATGACTTTTGACAATCTAAAAGGGAATTGTACTCACCAGAATAGGTACATTAAGACCAGGTCCTGCCAGAAGAGTATCATTTCCTCTTTTTTATGAGGTGATTAGACTGATTAAATCAGGGAAGTGTCTTAGATTAGGGGAATCTTAAATTCAATGAGTCATTTGACAATTTCTCCTGATACCTTATCAAGATGGTGAGATATGGCTTTGATGATTTGATTAAATTGCTAATGACCTTGGATTGCATTAATTCAACTCAACAAAGAATCCCTTTACTGAACAAGGTGCTGAGCCTCGTACAATTGATGAAATGTTATCAATCCTAGTGGTTTTGATAAGTGGAGCCATACAACCTGGAGGGAATTCTCCAATGGTAGTGCTGCAGGTCCCATCAACTTGCTTCCAGAAACTGAACTTGGGATTGCTATTGGGGCAGCCAGTCATGGTGAGCCTTCTTTCCCAGAATCCTCCATAATCTCATCAACACTCATAGTACTATAGGGTAGTTTAATTTTCTTCCAGAGGTAGACATATTTTGGAGTTTAAACAAACAAATCTCTTTTCATCATATCTTTGCAGTGTGAGTAACTCATTGACTTTGTTCTCTAGGTAGGATGCAAAGACCCATGTAGATTGTATTATTCCTTCTCCAAGGAGCAGGATGCATCAGAAAATCTCTTTCTAGGCAGTTCAATGCCTGAACTCCCAAACTCGGGAATTTTTTAAATTGGCATTATGCACAAGGCAACTCTTGAAACTGGTGCTGCCCAAGAAATCTCCCTTCTCTGCTAGGCCTAGAATTCAACATCCTGATGCCTATAACAGAATTCAAAAATCCCCTCTTGTCTCCCTCAGAGGTTGGGATTCAAGAACAGTGTCCATGAACTCCCTCTTAGGCTGCAGTGTCCAACTGAAATAGACATGGGAACCTCTAACCCAAAGTGGATCACAAGCCATACATGTTCCCCTTGCCATATGCTTCTGTTAGAAATCACCATTGTTCTCGCTTCCTGGCCATCCTCGCGGCAGGTCTGTGGCTGAGGGTCCTCCTGCACCGCAGGCAGGAAGATGGTGGCCGCAAAGAAGATGAAAAAGTCGCTGGAGTCCATCAACTCGAGGTTCCAGCTGGTCACGAAAAGCAGCAAATACGTGCTAGGCTACAAACAGATCCTGAAAATGATCAGACAAGGCAAAGCCAAATTGGTCATCTTAGCCATCAACTGCCCAGCCTTGAGGAAATCAGAGATTGAATATTACGCTATGTTGGCCAAAACCGGTGTACATCACTACAATGGCGATAACATTGAATTGGGTACAGCATGTGGGAAGTACTACAGAGTGTGTACCCTAGCTATCATTGATCCAGGTGATTCTGATATCATTATAAGCATGCCGGAACAGACCAGTGAAAAGTAAACTGTACAAAAGTATTCTTTAATAAACCAGGCCGTAACTTGTTTAAAAAAAAAGAGAGAGAAATCACTATTGTTGCTCCTACTACGGGTAGGAGTGAGGGGAAGAATTCCCTCACTCATCTTACTGAACTTTGGAAGGTAAAAGCAAACAGCAAAGACTCAAAATCCGGGTATCTTAAAGTGCGACTAGCTTTTATAAATCACAAAGAGGTGTGGCTGAGCTTTAATCAGCCATTTCCCACATCTCTGCATCCCATCAGTTTTATTCAGGGAGTCTTCAGTGTGACAAACAATGGCCCATGCCTTTGTAATTTTTCTTTTTTTTTTTTTTGTAATTTCATCAGGTTGATTGGGGAATCTCCTGAATTTGATCATGGATTTCCCTGATCCACCCCCTTTTGCATAAGAAAAAATTGTCTTCTTTTCAAAAATACTTCATTTAAATTTTTTATTTATGTTTTGTTTTTTCATAAGTAATTTCCCAACATATTCCTCCTCTGCCTTCTCCCAGAATGCCATCCCTTACACCAAATAATAAAAAGAAGGAAACAAAGCTGTCTAAAATGTATCAATGTATCAACCCACCACATCAACCAGGTTGGCCTTTGGATATGACCTCAATATCGACTCAACTGCACTTTTCAGCCCACTGCCTGCTGTGATGGCTGTGGACATACCCTTGCTATTGGCACTGTGGTTCAATGGTACCATTACTTCTGGAAAAGACACACCATGTTGACTGTTATCTTTATTGTTCCATTCACCATCCCTGTGACTGTTCATACCAGACCACCCTGCCTGGCAACCGTTATTCTTCCTTTATTAATTTCCTTACTCAATATATTATTTATTAACTTTAATGTGTCAAATTTATTGTATATTAATAATCAATGCTCATTTATTTGTTCCTTTATTAATTATTTATTACTCTCTGGCAACTATTCTTCCTATTATCTTCCTCTATTAGAAAGTTAACTCCTCCTAGGCAGAAACTGTATTGCTTTTATATTTGTATGCTCAGTCTGGAGCACAGCACCTCTACAACCCATCCCAAGCTTTTTTGTATTTGGTTGTTTGCATGCTGTCTCCCTCATTAGACTGTGAGCTCTTTGGGTACAGGAACTGTCTTTTGCCTTTCTTTGTATCCCCAGTTCTTAGGACAGTGCCTGGCCCATAGTAGGCACTTAATAAATGCTTATTGAAATACATTTTCATTTTATCCATTCCTTCAGCCACATCTGGCTCGCATGTATTGTTTCATACCTATAGTCTCCCACCTTTGTGGAGCAGGGAGGCACCTTCTCATATCACTTCTTCGGGGCCAAGCTTGCTCACAATTTCACAGCATTCAATTTCAATTTTGATGCTGTTTTTTCCCTTTATGATACATCGTATAGTTTTCCTGTTCCTGCTTGCTTCATTTTGCATCAATGCATTTAGTTCTTCCTGTGCTTTTCTGTTCTCCATGTTCATTGTTTCTTATAGCACAATAGTATTCCAACACCATCGATAGACCACAATTTGTTTAGCCGTTCTCCCCAATCGATAGGCACTTGCTTTGTTTCCAATTCACTGCTGACACAAAAGAGCGACTTGAATATTTTGGCGTATTTGTTGACCTCTTTGGGGTAGATGCCTAGCAATGGGACTTCTGGGTCAAAAGTTTTGGACATTTTAGTCATTTTTTTTTGCGTAATTCCAAACTGCTTTAGAATTGGACCAATTCACAGCCCCCACCAACAGTGCATTCTTAATGTGCCTGTCTTTTCACAACCTTTTTGACAAGAACTATTCCCATCTTTTCTCACTTCTGCCAACATGCTAACAGAAACATGCTTCACAATTAGGACCATCCCCGATCGTGATGAGCCCCCATCGATGGGACTGTTGAAGCAGAGGCCTCTTGACCACTCATTGGAGAGACTATAGAAGGTATTGTGATCTCAGATGAGTTGGACTCAAAATAGTGGCTGACCTTCATAGATGGATTTAGCAGTCGCAAAGGGCTTTACATATTCTATATCATTTGAGCCTGAGGTCTGGTTGTATTGCTCCTCTACTTAATAAGCTTCTAAAGGCTCCCTAGCCTTTAGAAAATAGAAACACCTCCCCTTAGCACTTAAGCCTTCTATAGTTTGGCTTCAGCCTACTTTTCTAAGATGAATCTATCTTATTTCTCCTCGCACATTTTATGAATCAGCCAAACTGGCCGACCTGCTTATTCCTGATACATAACATTCCATATCTCCCTTTTCGGTGCCTTTCCCCATGATGGGAAGCCTTCCCTTCTCTACTTGGCCTCTTTCCTCACTCCAACACCAGAAAGCGGGGTGTGAACAGATCTTCTCTATTCCACCGAAGGTACAGCTAGGTGACCTGCCTACCAGTACCCCCTTCTCTTCAGGGTCCCATCTAGGGAGAAATACCCCCAACCCAGCTTACCTCCCATCCACCCTCCACAACCACAGGCAAACATTTGCAAAAACATAATTGCTTTATTTAGTGTTGGCTGGGGTTGCAAGTGTCAGCGATGTCCCGGGGATCCCCAGGGAGAACACAGGCTGCTTGGAGGGTCTCTTGGCCTCCTGACCCTCGGTGGGAGCGGGGAATGGGGTGGAGAAGCAGCAGAGATAAGTGATACCCCCCTTTCCTTCTGATCCCAAAGTCATCCCTTACTCTACAGGAGGACAGATTTGGGGAGGGGGGCAGCAAAGCAGTGAACAGGGTCACACTGTGGACCCCAGGACCATTTTCCTCCCTTCTATTTATACCCAAAACCCAACCCTATTCTCCAAACTACCCATATTGGCTATTGATTCTAGGTGTTGAGGGGTTTTGAACTAGGATATGAGGGCCCCATTTTCCATTGGGCAGGGGCTTCAGAATAAGCACCATTGGGCCCCCATAATCACATAATGTGAGTTAAGAGGGGAGCTTGGATGGCCCCTAAAATCCCTTTGAGTGGTCCTATGATCTCGGCTTTGCAGAAGAGGAAGGTGAGGCCCAGGGATGAAGTGGTTTGCCCAAGGTCACACAGGTAACAGAGCCCCAGGTCCTCTGAGAGCTCTGCCAGGGTTCTTCCCACTAGGCTCCCCACACTGCCCATCACTCTAAGCTGTCACCACCTCCACCCGGTTTGTTTCAAGATATCCCCTCCCCCTGCCCCAGGCAGAGTTAGGAGCTTATCATAGGGGCTAATTCCTAGGTGTGTGTTTGCTGGGGGAGGTGCCTCGGTCCCTCTGGGAAAGAGGTCTCAGGTGGGCAGGGCCTCACTAAGGCATAGAGGAGCAGTAGAACAAATTCGGGTCCCAGCCCCTTGTGGCCAGCGATGAAGGGAAACTGAGGGGTGTCCCTGGGAGTGAACGATGGGCACGGGTGGGGAAGAGGAGATGCGATGGAGTAACTGGTTCTGGGGTGGGGTGAGAGGGCAGCTGGACCCCACCTTTCCTCCCACCTCCAGCCCTCTGATTGCCCCCCTGCAGGGCTGGCCAGATCACATCCAGCGTGTCTTGGTGGCAGGAATGATGGCTTTAAAAAAAAAATTATCTCATACAAAGCATCAAAATGACTCAGCAGAAAAAAACAACCTCAGCAAAATGTCTCCTCCCACTGGTTTGGCATCGGTCATGGGGCTCTGCCCTGGCCCCCGTCATCCCTCAGCCCCGCTCCTGACATAGCTCCCCATTGTCCTACTATTCCCCCCACGTCCACCGTGGAGCTGATGTGGGGGTTGGGATGTGGGCGGGGAGGAGGGATCAGGGAACAGAAGGCAGGCGCCACATGGGCCCCCCTTCAGACCCAGGATGCACCCAGTTTTCCAAGCACGGAAGTGAGAGTCTTTGGTTACCATGAAGGGGGATAGGGCAGCAGCAAGCGGGTGAGCAAAGCAGGCATGGTGGAGGGGCAGGAAGAGCGTCCCGACGGACGGGGTCCATCATCATCATCGGGAATTCAGCCGGGGAGCGACCTGCAGAGGGGTAGCAGAGGACACTCAGAGGCAGCCCTGACCTCACTCATCTACTGAGGGGACCGAGCTCAAGGGATCAATGAGAGCCCCTCGCAGGTGACCTCCCCACCCCCACCCCCCATCTGGAGGGTGTTCAACAGCTTACAAAGCACAGTCATGCCTTCCTCACCCTGGGTGGTAGGCAGAGCAGGGAACAGCAGCCCCATTTTATAAACAATGAAAATTAGAGGTCAATGGAGCCTTGGCAATTGGCTGAGCTAGTAAGTGGCGAGGTTGGGTTTCGAGCCCAAGTTTTCTGATGTTCTTTCTGCTACGCTAATGTTACTGTGTGTGGTTCGGCATCCACTTTGTTCTGAGGGATCCTACGGGGCCCGAGGTTCTCTTGATACAGTAGGCTCAAGCCCCCCCAATCTCAACAACCAGCCATTCCAAGGCAGGCCAGGATTATGAGAGGAAGGTGAAGAGGCTGTATCTGGGGCAGGGTGATCCCCCCGAAAGGGGCCATCAGAAGCCCAGGACCAGAGGGGTCCTACATCCCAACCCCCTTCACTCACCACGGCAAGGTGCCCATTCTTGGCCTTGGCGATAAGGAGCTCAGAGCCAGGGGTGAAGTCAATGATACCATCTCTGCCTGGGCCACCAGCAAAGGTGATGCTAGTGGGGAAGGGCTTGATGAGATCCAAGATGGGACAGGCCCCCATCTGTTATCCCCTCGCTCCCTTTCCCCACCAGCCCTTCCAAAGCTCCTCTCACCGAAGCCTGGGCTTACCTGCCCTGGTTGATGTTAATGCAGTTGACTCGGTCTGCATTGAGGGCCAACTTGGTTATCGTCTCGATCACATGATCACTTTGGAGTACCACATCCCCCTAAAAGACCCAGGAGGTAGGCAGAAAGAGATGCTTAGCCTCTCCACGCCTGGAGTCCTGCAGCTCCGCAGCCAGGGCATCCCCACCCCCAAGATCTGTAAGATACAGCGATTCCAGGAGGCCCTCTATACGGCAGTGGGGGAGGAGCTCCAAATCACAAACCATGAAGCCAGGGGGAGCAGGGAAGAGGGGTTTTCAGGGGGAATTATAGAATGTAAGCTCCCTGAGGGCAGGAATTGTTTTTGCCTTTCTTTGCCTATACAGTACCTAGTGCAGTGACTAGTAAACAGTAGGCACCTAATAAATGATTACTGAGTGACGGGTGCAGAAAGGTCAGAGGTGTGTTCTCTTCCTCCCTCCTTTTCCTCCATGTCTGTAGAGGAATTCCCATAAGTCTCCTGAGGGCCGGTGGGAGGAGGAGGAGGGGATGTAACAAGCTCAGCCCCCAGCCCAACCCCCACACCTTCTGCTTGTTGTCCTCTCTCTGCACGTGGAGGACGAAAAGGCTGTCACTTAGGCTGCTGACGGAGATTCCTGGTGGGGGAAAGGTCAGGATGGTCAGCGGGATACTGTCTCCCCACCCCCTCCATCTCCACACAGGGCTGGGCTTGCTGAGCAAAGGGGACTGGGAAAGGCTGCCCTGGTGAGATGCCAGAGGACGAGGGAGGCTGAGAACAACACGAAGATGGGGATGGGGTGTGAGCCCTTGGGCGTCCTCTCCACAGGCTACCTGGGATCCACAGACCCCTCAGAGGCCACACCTAGGCCAACCCCCCTTCATTTAACAGATCGAAAGACAGAGGCCTGGGGAGGCTGGGGATGCGTCTGAGGTCACACAGGGTTGATGTCCCCGAGGCGGATCGGAAGCCAGGTCCTCTGACCAGAGCTGGCATTCCCTGGGCCTTTGCCCCCAGCCCATCCTCAGTCAAGATGGCACAGCGTGAAGACAGCCTGGCCCAGTCTCTCTGGGTGGCCCCTTACCGGTCAGGTTGGCGTATTCAATCCTCTGTTTGACCTTAGCCTCCTCCACAATGACCGCAGCACCAGGGGTCAGCAGCAGCTGCCGGGCCCGAGGCTTGTAGCCCTTCCGGTCATACTTGACCACAGGCACCGCGTACTGGAGGGAAAGGCACTGTTAGACTACTCTCTGGTGGCCCAGGTCCTTCTCAGAGCCTTCCAATCTCCATGGAACAAAACACCTCCAAGTTTCTGACTCCCCTGGGTCCACTCCTCTCCCTCAGTCCCATCTGGGGGTCATTCCATTATCCCTTCATATTCCAAAAAGAACAGAACGCAGGATTGGATGAAATGGCACTGAAGGTGAACACTGTGGGAGCAGGCCTCCAGGAAGGAACTGAGTAAACAGAGTGCTGGACTCTGTGTGGTCCACTATGACCTCTCACTTCTCTTCTCAGACTATCTCTTACTTCTCCCACCCCACTAGAGTATTAGCTCCTTATGAGCAGGATGGTACTTGTATTCCCAGGGGCTAGGATATGATAGGTGCTTAATAAATACTTATTGACTGGCTCTCCTGCCATTCCTCTTGCTTCCCATTCTGAGAGCTCTTAACTGGGTTTCGACATAGTTTTGAACTGCCACCATCAGTCCTGCTCCCATAGTTCCCTCCTGCTTCTTTCTCTGGGATCCCAAACAGGAGGCTCACCTGGACAGGCTCACTGCCTAGGGCCTGGAGCACTTTGGGGCTGATCTCATCAGCAGCTAGAAAAGACAGAGAGATGGGAGGTGGGAAAACTGCTGGAGGAAGTCGATATTGGAAGGAAATGAGAAAGAAGAAAACTCAAGTGGAAGTGAAGTAGGAAGTTAGTCAAGTGGGATAGTGGACAAGGGAAGCGGGGGCAGACAAAGTGACGTCATAGAGAAGGGGGCCCACGGAAAGGGGAATTATAGGGAAGGGGGGCAGAGAAAGGGGCGTCATGGGGAAGGGGGGCCCAGAGAAAGGGGAATTATAGGGAAGGAGGGGCCCAGAGAAAGGGATGGAGATAAGGGGCCCAGGGAAAGGAGTGTCATGAGGAGGGGGGCCCCAGGGAAAGGGACGTCATGGGGAAGGGAGGCCCAGGGAAAGGGGCATTATGGGGAAGGGGTGGTGGGAGGGTGGAATGTCATACCAAGCCGAGTGTTGATGAAGAGTCTGGGGACACTCTGAGGATAGTTATCTTTCCTGCCCTTGAAAACCTCACTGGCCACAGCTTTCTGATGCAGCTATTGAGACAAGAGGGGGTTCCTGACCAACAGCTCAACAGTGCCACACCCTCATCCTTTGGTATAACATAAGCTTCTGTTTTTCAGTTCTTCCTCTTGCATCTCCAGTGCCTAGCATATTGCCTTGCACACAGTAGGCATTTTAATAATTGCTATCATTTCTATAGCACTTTAAAGTTTGCAAAGCACTTAACACAGATTCACTCATTTGTTCCTCAACAATCCTGGGAGACAGGTGCTACGATTATTCTACTTTACAGATGGGGAAACTGAGGCATATCAAGGTTCAGTGACTTGCCCAAGGCCACAGAGCTAGCATGTGTCTGAAATAGGATTTGAACTAAGGTTTCCCTGACTCCTAGTATACTTCACTGCTTCAATAATAACGCACCACCAATACTAAATGCTCTGAGCTTTTCTTTTCTTTTCTTTTCTTTTCTTCTTAGGCAATTGGGGTTAAGTGACTTGCCCAGGGTCACACAGCTAGTAAGTATCAAGTGTCTGTTCTGAGGCCAGATTTGAACTCAGGTCCTCCTGACTTCAGGGCCTGTACTCTATCCACTGTGCCACCTAGCTGCCCCCTGAGCTTTTCTTGATTAAGAAATGTACCCTCTTTCTGAGATGTCAGTGGGGAAACAGACAAAGGACCAGATCTGGAAGCTCCAGATTCATCTTAGGTCCCACCTTCTCTTACCCTCCCATGTCCCCAGTACAATGGGATTCAACATGTTTAAAGTACTAATAATATCCTGAAGAGGAAGAAATGGTTTAGAGAAGATAGCGTCAGAACTAGGAAAATCAGGGTTCATAAGCTGCCTTTGACACATATATCCTGTGTGCCCATGGACACGTCACTTAATTTGTCTGAGCCTCAGTTTACTCATCTGTAAAATGAAAGAACCAGAAGGTCTTTGCCAACTCTGTTTACGACCCTTTGGCCCCATCCTGCTCTGTGCTCAGCACCTGTCTTTCTCTTGATTTCCATAACACCCGGGATAGTAAACGTCCCTGGGTTCTGGTCCTGGCCCCGAGACTGAGTGGCCCCATGACTTCTGCTAAGTGTCTCCATCACTGTGCTCCAGGCTCCTTGCCTTCCCCTACATACCTCCCCCGGCAAGCCAGCTCACCTGCTGCTTCCATTCTGAACTGATACTCCGGCAGTATTTCCACACCATGTTTCTCATACATAGCTCCCTCAGCTGCTCGGAAGCCTGGGAGGACAAGAAATGAAGTTAGAGGGAGCAGGAGGGAGGGGAAAGGTTGGCTGGGGGCTGTGGACAGATGTCCCTGGGGAAAGAGCCCAAGGATGGAGCTGGGGACCTCGGACTGTCCTGTGTGTCTCGTTCATGACTCCAGCCCCCAACGAGGACCCAAGTTCCAATCCTGGACCTGACACCACTATCCTTGTGACCTCAGGCAAGTCCCTGCATCCTCAGGACCTCAGTTTCCTCACCTGTAAAACAAAGGGGCTAGTCTAGAACAGAGATTAAAATGTAATTGGGAAATATTTCACAAAATCAATTAAAAAAAACCCAATCCACGTCACTTTGTGGCTTTCTAAGTCAATATGTGAGGGATCTGGTTTCTGTTTGAGTTTGACACCATTGGTCTAGAAGAACTCTTCCAGCTCAAAACCTATGATCCTATGAAGTTGAAGCCAGAAGGTCCTGGATTCAAATCCTACCTTTGCTCCTTACTACTTGTGGGACCTTAGGAAAAAAATCATGTGACTTCTTAGGATCTCAGTTTTCCCATCTGTTAAAACAAGAGGGTTGAAGTAGATGCCTGAGGTCCAACGTGGCTATAAATGTTCTCAATTTTTAAACACCTTCCTCTCCAAACTCCAGTGGGCCTACTGCTTTCTACTACTATGTTCTCTATGGCGTGGGTGTTTTGTCATGCCAACTTGTTCTTAAGCTGAAGGCCTGGACCTCAGCAGTGTCCAGTGCAGGGCTGGGTCAGCACTCACTAACGAATTAGGGTTAGATCAGTTCCCGGAGGAACATGGGATGTGAAATTGAGAATTTAAGGAATCTTAAGACGTCATCAGTGAGGAAACTGAAGCCCTGGGAGGCCACGGGGTCAGATTTCTATCTTGAAGGTCATCCAGTCTAACCTTTTCACTTTACAGATAAGGTAACTGAGGCAGTGACTTGCCCAGAGTCACACAGCTAGTAAGTGTCTGAGTTTCAAATGGACCCCAAGCATTTCCCCCTTCCGAGCCTATCACACTGCTTGGCCTCTACACTGTCCAGCCTCCTCGGACCTCATGCAGGGCAGGAGGAGGGGTGGGCCACGTTTTGTCCAGCACGTTCCGGGGCAGGTGCCGCCGCAGATTCAGCAGGAAGGAACACCGAACAAAATCCAAGAAGAAGGCATTTTCAGGGCACCTGGGTGCACGGCGAAGGATGAAGCCTTGGATTAGCCTTGGGAAGAGAGGGAGGGATGGAGGTCAGCATGTTAATGAAAACAGCTCACTGAGGATTTTCCTCCTAAAAACCTAGGTTCAAATCCTCTTCCAATTGCTTACTTCCTGTGTAATTGTGGACAAGGCATTTGGACCTCAGTTTCCTCCTCTGTAAAATGAGGAGGCTGGATCACAGGACCTCTGAGGTCATTTCCAACTCTAGAGCTATGATTATGTGAGCCTACATCCCATCTGTAAGGAATGAGGCCCATTTTACAGATGAGTAACTTGGAGCCCTGCCCAAGGCTACCCAGCTGAGACTGAAATCCTGGTCTAGAGACTTTTCCCAACACACAACATCCCATTGTCATGATGGGGACCCATCACTGGTGATCTGCTCCCAATTGCAGGGATCACTCCCAATACAGAAAGCCAACCCCTCCTCCCCAGTCCCAATGGGGGACGCTATCAGGGACCTCCCAAACTCACTGTCGGATCATGTTGGCTGCCTGTTTCCTCTTGGCCGCTTTCCTCCGGCCCAGGGTCCCCCGCCACCATGACTGGATACAGATAGCTGTAGAGTGAACAGATGACTGCTCACCTCCATTGTCTAAGGACAACCCTGACCTTGGGCTCTCATCCCAAAGGATCTGGGCCTCTGGCTTCAGATGGCAAGAAAAGACTCTGAGCCCCCTCCTTGAACCGTCAATTCTCCTCTCCTCTCCCCTACCTCCACCAGATCTACTAACCTGCACGCTTCACTCGTAAGAATTTCTGTCTCCAATGGTATCCCCTCCATGACGCCTGGATCTTTGTGGCTGGGATTTCAGAAAGCCAATGAACAAACATTTACTCATCATTAGCATTGTCTTAGAGCGAAAAGAGCTTTTGTCCCAGAGTCAAGAGGGTCTGGGTTCAAATCCCACCTTTTTAGTCAGGTAACCTTGGGCAAGGCACCTAATTCTCTCGGTCTCAGTTTCCTCATCTACAGAATGAGCTGGTTCTTTTAATCTCCAAATCTATGATTCTCTTATTCTTCCAATTGCACAGGCCCAAAGTAGATAACCTTTGGGTCTCACCAAAACCTGTAAACCAGCTTTGTCCCCGGCTCTGACGAGTTTACCTCTAGTTGAAGAGAGAGTGTAGGGCCTGGAGTTGGGAAGACCCGAGTTCTAATGTGAACTCAGATACTCACTAGCTGTGTGACCCTGAGCAAGTCACTTAACTCTGTTTGCCTTAGTTTCCTCATCTGTAAAATAAGCTGGAGAAGGACATGGCAAACCACTTCAATATCTTGGCCAAGAAAACCCCAAATAGGGTCACAGAGTCAGACACAGCTAAAACAACCAGAGAAAGACCAGCCAAAAGCAACCAACGGAGAGACAACAAAGAGTGATTGGCAGACAGCTGGCCGGGGAGGCGGGAGGCCCCGAGTTTAAGGCTAGCCTCAGACTGCGTGATTCTCACAAAGTCGCCTCTTGGCGCCCCTAGGAGCCTCTCTAAAACCCCACGGCTGCAGAAAAGATGCTCGCCTGCATTGAAGGAACTAATTTCTGAACGGGGAGTTCCCAATACTAGTGATCCCACAGGTTCAGACCAACAAGAAAAGAAAGGCAAGTTCTAAAGCCAGCACAGAGAGGAAGCAGCACACCGTCCTGGCAAGAGTAGCGGCCTTGGGAGTCCGGAGATCTGGCTTTGGAGCCCTTCTGGGCCTGGCAGGGCCGCACTCTAACCCTGGGCTTCCCTGTGAGGCGAGCATCCTTTGCACTCCCCACATCTCAGGGCTGCCGGGAACACTCTGGTTAGTGTCGACCAAAGATGCTACGGAAGCCAGCGGAGAAAGCTTCCGAGGCCCGGTCAGGGTGGGAGCAGAAGCTGAGAGCTGTGAGAGAACTCTGAGGCCATCTGAGAGTGACTTGTCCAAGGTCACCCAGGTAAGATCTGAACCCATGTTCTCTGACTACAGACCCAAGAGTTACCTGCTCAGGCCAGCTTCCTGAAGGGGAGATCCCAGCCTAGCTGCGGAGCTAGAAGGGTCCAAAGAGGCTGTCTGGTTCAACCCCCATTTTACAGAAGAGAAGACGGAGAGTGAAGGGGAGTGAAGCCATTAAGGAATCTTAAGACGTCACCAGTGAGGAAACTGAAGCCCTGGGAGGCCATGGGGTCAGATTTCTATCTTGAAGATCATCCGGTCTAACCTCTTCACTTTACAGATAAGGAAACTGAGGCAGTGACTTGCCCCGAGTCACACAGCTACTAAGTGCCTGAGTAAAGCCATTTGCCCGAAGTCATCAAAAGTGGGGATTTGAATCCAAGTCCTTTGACTCTAGAACCGGGGCTGTATGGAGATGGTGGGACTGGATAAAGATGGAATCCAAAAGGACGGGACCGAAGCCAGGATGACAGAGCCACCCTGGCCCCACCCCAAGGACTCTCACCCAGGCTCTGCTTCCTCACTTCCAGAGCGTCTTCTGTGGCAAAAAGCGTCTTGGGGAAGCGGATGAAGATCTTGGTTCTGGAGGAGGGAAGGAGGATGCAGTGTGGCCACAGCCACCAGCAGCCGCTCTCCCCCAGCCCCCTGTGCGAGGCCCCAGCGGGGCCTGACTACTCACTTGCCCAGCTTGTATTCCTCAGGCTTGTAGCCAAGGTGCTGGATCAGGACCGACACCCCATCCTGCGGCCGCCCGTCCCAGGTGGGCCACGTCTCTGGACACAAGGACTTGTACCTGCAGAGGAGACAGAGTGAGCGCTAGCCTCGTTCACCACTCTGGAGAGAGAAGGGGTGTGTGACCGACTGAGTGTGGCAGTGTGTGTGACTCAGTGTGTGAGATGGAAGAAAGTGTGAGTGTGACAGAGCATGTGACTGAGAGTGTATGGGAGAGTGTGTGTGTGGCTGTGTATGTGTTTGATATGAGAAAATGTGTGTGAGTGTGACTGAGTGAATGTGACATATAAGAAAGTGTGTGAATTATGACAGTACATATGACCGCGTATGGGGGGAGTATGTGGGGGGGGGAGCGCATGTGTGTGATATGAGAAAAAGTGTGTGAGTGTGACTGAGTAAGTGTGTGTGATATGAAAAAGTGTTGAGTGTGACTATGTGTGTGCATGTGATATGAGAAAGTTTAAGTGTGTGTGAGAGTGTGGGGGGAGTGCATGTGTGTGATATGAGAGAAAGTACATATGAGTGTGACTGAGTGTGTGTGCATGTGACTGTGTGTGTGACATGAGAAAGTGTGAGTGTGCGTGAGAGTGGGGGGAGTATATGTATGTGATATGAGAGAGTGTGTGTGTGTGAACTGAGTGTGTGCATGTGTGTGATATGAGAAAGCATGTGTGTGTCACTGAGTGTGTGTATATGCATGTGTGCATGCGTGAGCCCACGTGTCCCTGGCTAGAACCCAAACGGCCCCTTCCGCTTTGGGGGTCCAAACCCTGGGCTCTGGGCTCTTGGCCCCTGACCCTTAATCTACCTCAAATAACCACATGGACAGAGGGAGTCCAGTGGGGGAGGCCTGGGCTGTGGGCCCAGCTTTGCCGCTCACGCCAATGTGACCCCAAGAAAGCATGGTGAAGAGGCTTGCCCATGATCCCACAGAGATGCAGTAGGCACAGAAGGCTGGATTTGGAGTGAGGAAGACCCGGGTTCAAATCCAGGCTTAAGACCAGGACTACCAGTGTAACCCTGGCTTAAAGGACTTTACCTCTCTGGGCCTCAGCTTCTGCCTCTGGAAAATTAGGAGATTAGACCTATATCAAAGTGTTTCCCATTTTAGGGAGGGAGAAGGGGAGGGAGAAAAATTTAGAACTCAAAAATTTTTTAAAATGAATGTTAAAAATTATCTTTACGTGTAACTGGGGAAAATATTATTTAAAAAAATAGGTTAGACTCAGTTGCCTCTATGGTCCCTTCCGGCTTCAGATCTAGGGTATGAGGCTGTGATCTGAAGTCTCTTAATCTGAACCTCAGTTTTCTCAGCTGTAAAATCAGGAGGCCACTAATGTCTCCAAGGTCCTTTCCAGCTTTAAACTCTATGATACCTAAGGCGTCAGGGCTGGGCCTTGAGGACAGGTCCCCAGACTCCACCAATTCTCCAAGAGGAGACAGTGCGTGCTAGCCCGAAAGCTGGGGGGCTGCTGGGACAGTAGGTACAAGATTACTTAAGAGTGAATGGCCTTGGTGAGGATGGGGAGACTGCCAGGAAAACCCCGAGGGGGAAAGCGCCTTCAGAATGTCTCTACATACATAGAGACAGACCTATCTACACACATATACAGACACAGAGAACTACATACATACCCTACACATGTAAACATGTACATATAATACACACATACAAAACACCCACATATATAAGCTCCTACAGAGTTGTGGAAAGCAAACTGGATTTGGATTCCAAAGACCTGGGTTCGAATCCTGCCTTTACCATTTACTACCTATGGGACAACAGCATAAGGGAAAGGGCGCTGACTCTGGAGCTGGGTTCGAATTCTGGTTCAGCTCCTTACTCCCTGTGTGACTTTGGGTAAGTCACTTGGCCTCTCTGGGGCTCAGTTCACTCATCTAAAAGTCGGGTGACAAAATCACAGGCTAACAGACAATGGCTGGTGTTTGTATGGCACTTGAAGAATGTCACTTCCTTCTGAGTGGGGGCTGCTTTATTTTTGCCTTTGAATCCTCATCTGGATGGTTAGGTGATGCAGTGCATGGAGCACTGAGCCTGGAGTCAGGAAGACCTGAGTTCAAATCCCGCCTCACAGCGTGACCCTGGTCAAGTCACTTCACTCTGTTTGCCTCAGTTTCCTCATTTGTCAAATGAGCTGGAGAAGGAAATCGCAAACCACTCCAGTATCTTTACCAAGAAAACCCCAAATGGGATCACAGAGAGTTGGACACAACTGAAAAATGAGTGAAAAGCAACAAAAATCCTTAGCATTCTAAGGTCTACCAAAGCCCTTATAAGATTAGCTCATCTGCTCTTCACAATAACCCTGTGACTTGGGTTGTTATTACTGTCCCCATTTTACAGAAAAGGAAACTGAGGCTCACAGGGGCTAAGTAACTCATCTAGAATCACACAGCTGCTAAGTGACAGAGGCAGGATCTGAACCGAGATCTTCTTCACCCCAAGTCCAATACTCTACCCACTTTGTCAAGCAACAGACCTCAAAGGCCAGCAAGTTCAACCCCCATATTTCCCAGCTGTGGCCCAGAGAGGGCATGGTGCTTGCCCAAAGTCACAAAGCAAATGGAAGAGTTGGGATCTGAACTCAGATTCTTTGCCTCCCAAATTCAGTGCCTGTTCAAATGGACTCTGCTCCTCCCTCCTTTCTATCTCTACATCTCTGAACAAGGGCAGCCAGGTGGCGCAGTGGATAGAGCACTGGCCCTGAAGTCAGGAGGACCTGAGTTCAAATCCAGCCTCAGACCAAACACTTGACACTCACTAGCTGTCTTACTTAACCCCACTGCCTAACAAAAAAACCTAAATAAACAAACAAATAAATAAATCTCTGAACCGCCAGCCTCTGTCCTTCCCATTCCCTGGTGCTTCCCCTGCTCCCCAAGCCACACCCTCCCATCTTCTTCCAGCCCCACACACCTCTGGAGGAAGTTCTCATATTTGCGCCTATAGGCAAAGCCGGCTCTCCGGACCCGCAGATTCTCCAGCAGCCCCAGATATTTCACCTGGTGTCGGATAAGCACCTCGTCAAACCGACCTGGGGAGGGGGAGAGAGAGTGCAAATCACTTAACCAACCATCTGGGCCTCAGTTCTCACATCCGGAAAATGGGGGCACTGGAGGGAGATCTGGATAGAGACAAGGACAGATCCATGAAGTCTGGGCCAATCCCACCTCCCTGTACTCTGCAAGTCTGGTGTGGTCCCAAATGAGGGTCCTGTCAGTGAGGAAATGGCTTGGTTACAACAGATGCCACCCTCAAGTCGGACTCGGCCACTAAGAAGTGTCAGGGCTGGGACTTGATGACAGTCCTCGGACTCACTAAAAACCACCCCCAACTCTCCAGATGGAGAAGGGCCCATCCCAGGAGCAGAGGGCTGCTGGGTTTGCTCAAAGCAAGTATCCTCAGTGAAGAGGAGACCCAAAGATAAAAGCTGGGGAGAAAGCGTTCATGCCGAGTTTCCTTCTTTTGACACTTTGGGGGCAGAGGGGAGCGGGCTCCTTTCCAGCTCTGACATTCCTGGTCTTCCCAGGAGAGAAACAGGATAGTGAGTGGGGTGCACTCAGGTGGGAGGCAGGGAAGGGGTGTCTCCCCTCACCTGGCTGTTTGGCGTCATTGGGCTTGATACAGCGAATATAGGCAGGTTCTTTGGACATGAGGATCTCAACCAATTGGAACAGACTCGCCTTAAACTGCGTGGCTGCCTGCAAGTCAAGGTGACAGGCATTTATGAAACACCTACTATGTGCCAGGCACAGTGCTAAGAACTAGAGACAAAAAAAGGTCAGAAGGAAAGGGAAGGTCTATGGGCTTGGGGATGGGGAAGATGATGGAGTCATTGGGGGAATACGGTGGGAGGTAAGGGGAGAAAGAATGTAGTCTGACATCCCACTGAGTCCTGGGGAGAAGGAGCCGAGCCCTGCACAGTCCCAGAGACAGACAGACAGACAGACAGACACACACACACACACACACACACACACACACACACACACACACACACACACACACAGAGACACACACAGTCTCCTCTCACAGCCCCTGATGTGCTCGCACCGTCTCCGGCCTCTTCTTGTCTGTGAGCTCGCTCCTGTCGAAGCACTGGCTCAGGATGGGGTTTTCAGAGCTGCACATGGTCTGTGGGAAGGAAGGGAAGACACTGAGGAGGGATATCCCCCGTGGGAGGCGGGAGAGTCAGAGCTTTCCGTATCCCTGCTCCAGAAAAAAAAAGAAACAATCCCCTCTTGATATTGGTGGAAGGTCTAGGCGTCCCCTGATGTTCATTTCCTTTCTTAGGGGAGCCTAAACCATGGGGCGAATAGTGAGTCAGAAGGACCTTGGGACAACGGTAGAAAAGAGGGGGCCATGTGAGTCTGTAGGTGCCTTCTGTATTTGTTCAAGTGTTCCCATGAGTCTTTATTTTATGTCCTCTGCACTTTTGTTTAGTCAAAGAAAAGCTGTCCTTCAGCCAAAGATAAAAAGCCCCAGCCCCAGTGTGCCAACCTGTTTCCCCTTGCCGGGGGCCAGCCCTGCTTACCTCCTTCAGGTTACGAAACAGGAGGTCGTTGTTCTTGTCCAGAAACCCTGGCGAGAGGAACACAGGAAACAGGGTTTGGGAGGAGAGAAGGTCCCAGCAGAACGAGTGCCACATTTCAAAGGCAAAGCCAAGAAAACGGGATGAGTCAGGCAGGAGGGGGAGGGGTTGTGCCCTGTGGGCCCCAGCCAGTCACTTACCTGTCACACTGTAGGTCACCTCCCCGGCATAGTGCAAAAGACGGAATTCACCTCGACCCAAGGATTTCCTTGTCCGCTGGTCAGCCAACTTGTGACTAGGGGAGGGGAAGAGGAAAAAGGGCAGGTGGTGAGAAGGTGGCTCAAGGTGCTGCTCTTCAGAGCTGGGGTTCCCAGAGAGACTTTGGTTGAAGCCTTGCCACCGTGGCCAAGTTCAGATTCAGTTCATCAATAAGAATTTATTAAGTGTCTCTGTCGGGCCAGGCACTGGGCATACCGAGAAGAAATAAAAGCCAAAGAGCTTCTGTGTTCCATGAATTTGCGTCCTATTTAGGGGAGACAGACATGAACGGACATGGGTAGATACATGGCCATTTCTGATGGGGATGGCACTGCCAGCTGGGCTGGGGAGAATCGGGAAAGGTCTGTAGACTATGGTGCTTGGGCTGAGCCCTAAAGAACATCTGGGGCTCTAGGAGTGGAAATTTGACTACAAGAGGAGAGAATGCCATGTGAAAGTTGGACATCGTGAAGCATGCCTCAAAATAGAGAAGAGGCTGAGTCCAAAAGAGCCTGGCTCTGGCGGTGGGCAACGGGGTGCAACCTAAAGAGTGGGAGGATTTGTTACCTGTGCAGCTTGGAACAAGTAATTTCGCCTCTCTAAGCCTGAGTTTCCCTCTCTGTAAAATGAAGAGGTTAGACCACATGGCCTCCAAGGTCCCTTTCAGCGCTACATCTATGAACGATGATCCCTCACTTCTGAAAGCAACTGTCACATGATGCTTTCTTGGGCTCTTGTTTAAGCCTGCCAACAGGAACGTGAGGAAGGCAGGGCAGACAGAGCCAGGCAAGCCTCAGGGCTCCAGTAACTCCTGCCTGGACCATGGGCCAGCCAGGACCAGGGCCTCACCATCTGCTGCTCTGCTTCCCCTCTCTGCCCTCTTAGGATCAATAATCAAACCAACATGACCACTGTTACTATGAAGTATATAAGAGAGTGTTGTCCTATAGCTCCACTCAGCATCCCGGGGATTCCAGAGTTCCCATCCCTGGCCAGCTCCCCTCTCCCTGCCCCCCTTATTCCTATCACTATCATCCCCATACCTCCTATTTGTCTATTTCTATTGCAGCTTTTTGTGGTGCCCTCTGAAGTTCCTGTTATATTGTTAATAAAAATAAATAATTAATTTTAGACTAAGGTCCACCCATCAGAAATTGCTTTGTATATACTTTATATTTAATTCTCCATAGACATGTTGCTTCCCCTAAAAGAATATCAGCTCCTCTCGTGTGGGGTCTGCTTTCTTATTACCTTTCTATCCCTAACACATAGCACAGTGCAGACACATAAAAGGCACATAATAATACTTGGATTATTAGTAATGATCACAACAGTAAAAATTATTAAAATACCAACAAAAAAATCCAAGAGAACTACAAATCTGAGGAAAAGCAAAATAAAAACCTTTTCATTCCTCATTTGCGAAAAAGTTTACGCTCCCGTGTCTTGTCTGTCTTCTCCAAGAAAGATTTGAAGAATAATAGTAATAATAATGTTGTTAGTAGTAATAACAATAATTAAGACATTTTATTCTAAAATTAAATACCAACAAATACAATTCAAAATGATCATGCTTAAAGCAAGCCAGATCATTTAGAATTTGCCTTTTTAAAAGTCCATCTTAGTGGATAGAGCACCGACCCTGGATTCAGGAGGACCTGAGCTCAAATCCGGCCTCAGACACATAACACTTTACTAGCTGTGTGACCCTGGGCAAGTCACTAAACCCCATTGCCTACTAAAAAAAAAAAAGTCCATCTTGATGTTACCAAAGTAATAATGTCCCATGTACTCTCCCCATCTGCTTCTTCTATGCATTTTTTTGTTATTTCAGATTTTGACTCACCTCTCTTTATTTTTATAGATGAGGCAGCTGAGGCCCAGAGAAGTGAGTGACTTGCCTATGGTGTAGAAGAATGTGTCCCTCGGCTGGGAGTCAGACCTGATTTCGTTCCTGGCTCTGTCACTAACATATCCTCCGACTTTGGGCAAATCACATTTTTATTTACTAAGCCAGCCTGGCTTAACGAATAAAGTACTGAGTCCAGAAAGCCTTGGCTTCAAATCTCTCCCTTTCAATCAGTCAACCAATAAACATTTAGTAAGCACCTACTGTGTGCCAGGCACTGAGCTAGGTACTGGGGATACAAAAAGAGGCAAAAGACCGCTCCTGTCCTCAGGGAGATTACAATCTAACTCTTGTTGTGTGACCTCGGGGAAGTACTTAATTTCCACGTGCAGCTTCCTAGGCTCTTAAGTCACAGATTGGTGGTGATGTGAGTTAGTTCTCATGCTGAGAATTCCCCTTCATGCATCTGAATTTTTTCCTTTAAACAGCCGCAGTCCATGTACATAGTCATCTGTTTCTTCTGTGCATTTTTCTTTATTTCAGATTTTGTTGTCTCCCCTCTGTTTTTACAGATGAGGAAACTGAGGTAAGGGAGGTTAAGTGACTTGCTCAGAGTTACCCAACAAGTCACTGGTACATCTGATAAGAGAACCTGGGAGAGCTGAACAAGCAGCAGTTTCCGAAGGAGGAAGTAACTTACGAGCAGCAGACAAGAGGATGTCTTACTTGGAGAAGAGAGAGCAGACACTGACCCATTAACTTTTACATAAATAGGAAATGAAAAGGGGATGAAGGCTTGCAGTTCTCTTGGGAATCTGATTTTTTGCTGGTGTTTTAAAATCCCTCTGACCTCCTACATTTTAAATTCAGGCGGCTCTTTGGATTCCAAGCCAGTGTGAGAGCTCTTCCCTTATCACTGCTTCTGTTTGTTCCCGGCCTGGCATTGACATCCCCCTTGCTTCGGAAATAGGGGCTTCCACCAGCATTTAGTATAATGCGAGTTAGCTTTATTATTATTTTTTTAAGTTTCAGTGATAGCTTTTGTTTTTACACCTCAATCGCTTCCTAGTCTATCAAGGTGTCCTAACTGCCACTGAACTCTCCCTTATAATAAAGAAAAAGAGTCAAGCAACAGAGACCCAGGAAGATGGCACATGCCACATTCTGAACCTGAAGGCCCCCACCTCTCTGAGTAGAGAGAAGGATGTTTCCTCATGTGCTCTCCGGGACAGAGCTCACTCGTGACAATGTTTTCTTTTTACCATTATTGTGGTCACTAGTGTCTCGGCTTTAAGACTTTTAAAGCCAATATCTTATTTACACCTCTCCATTTCACAGAAGGGAAAGGAACATAATTCTTATTTTACAGATGGTAAAAGTCAGGCTCACAAGGAAAAATGATTCATCCAAGTTCACCCAAGGATGAGTCGGTGGTGATGCCAGAACTGAACCCAGGGGTCCTGACTCCCAGCCTGGGGTCCCTTTCCACTCCATGTGGGCAGGTCCCTTTCCCACTCTGAGCCTCAATTTCCTCTTCTCTAAAATGGGGGAGCTGCACTAGCTTGTGCCTAAGATTCTGCCCCACTCTAGATCTGAGGGCAGCATTTGGAGGTTACTGGGCAGCTTGCCTGGTGCAAACACCGAGCCCATGGGACCTCATTTTTCTCGTCCAGAAATCCTGGGGTTTGGGAGGGGAAAGAGCCCAGCGTGGCACACTGGGAAGGCCAAGCCAAGAGTCCTGATGGGCACTTGGGAGCTCGACCCACTCACGTCACAAAGTGTGGGTGGTGCTTCACCGTGTCCTCAAGCTTCTCCAGGAAGGTCAGGTCTGTGGCATCCCCAGGGCGAAGGCACTCCTCATCCTGGGAGGAAAGGGAGAGCGGCAGTAAAAGGCAGAGAGGACAGAGGGGTGTGTGCGACACATAAAACCATCATGGATACAGATAATATGGTGGGGAGCCACGGGACATAAGATGCGGGAATGAAAGGGAGGCCAGGAGGAGGAAACAGGGGAGCATCGCATGACACTGGGGAAGAAGGGGATGAAGGAATGCTCTTCTGATTGGGAGGACACACAGGAGAAGGAGGAAGAGCCAAAGACGGCCCCTTCCAGACCCAAGACAAGAGCCCCCAAATACTTTCTCCCCCCCCTCCTTCTGCCCTGGTCCTTCTCCACACCCTGCTCTTGGCTCAGTCTCAGACGGTCCCCCCGGTTTGGCCATGGAAGCTTTAGGGCAATGGAAGGAAAGAGGGCTGACATATCCTGGGCCCATGGCGCCCCCTCCCCCACCCTAACTGTCAGAGCCTCACCAGGATGGAGATGATGCCTTTGAACTTTTCCTCCACTAAGTCACAGATGATCTTGTTGTTGAGGTACGGCACTGGCTCCCACTGTGGCCGGACAAAGGGACACACGAGGCAGGTTAACTCCCTCCTTGGGGACTGGGGACATGCACCCACACCCCAACCACGTTGACAGGTCGCGCCGCCCACCCAGCAGAGGACACAGCCTGTGCAGAGAAGTTGGGGCCGATGCACCAGTGGTCAACCACGAGAGGCTTCCTACTCACAGCAATACCCTCTGCTTCGTATTCTTCCTGTTCTGACTTGAGGGTGAGCTCAATGAAGAGTTGCTGCAGCTTTTCATTACAGTAATTAATGCAGAATTGCTCAAAGCTAGAGAGACAGAAAGAGGCCCCCCAAAAAGACAGATTGATGGGAGATGGAGGGGAACCTCAAAAATTATCAGTGGGACTCATGGGGGAAACTATGAAAGGAATCAGTGGGAGATGCTGGGGGAGAGAAGGAGAGTGGCCAGTGGAAGAACACTAGTGAGACCGATGAGGGATGATCCTGGGGAGTCCGTGCTGGGAGTAACCAAATGGGGATGTTGCAGAACCCTGGGAAGAACTATGGGAAATTATGGGGGCGACCCTCAGAGCAATCAATCAATGGGAGATGCTGGGGGACGGATTCAGGGAGAAGACTGCAGGGACTTAGAGAAAATAGGGTGTTTGTGAGAGAAACACGAGATGGGTCAGAAGAAAGAGGAAGAGAAGAAAATGAGAAAGACAAGGAGTAAGGAAGGGAATGAGGAGGGGATGGAAGGGACGGGAAGGGAAGAACACAGAAAGATGGTCAAAGTTGAGGAGAAGAGAAAAAGACAAAGATAAAGGGCGGGCTGAGGTGGGCTGCGACAGCACCGACCTGTTGTGCTGGAAAACCTCGAAGCCGTAGATATCCACCAGCCCCAGGACGGTGGTGCCTCTCCAGCTGGGGAATTCTGGGTCCTAAAGTGGAACCAAAATCGCTCACTCATTCACTGCCCAGCTCAGAGAAAAGCATCTGTGCTAAAGCTCCCCTGGTACTCCCCAAGTGATAGATTGCTGATCTCTAGGAACCAGGACAAATCCCATTCCTACTGATGGATTGGGGGGTGGTGAGGAAAGTCATGGCGGGGCTTGGCAGGGCTTGGGGAGGTGGGAGATAGGGTAATGAGCTGGGAAGGAGGCCCCAGGAGCAGCCTCACCTTGAAAGCCAGTGACCTATTGATCTTATTCACCAGCCAGGAGAAGGTGCGGCTGTAGATGGCTTTGGCCAGGGCATCTCGGGCATATGCAGCCTGCTCCAGGTTCAGGGGGCTCAGGAGCTGGACAAGGACAAGTGAATGATAGATGGAGGATGTGCTCTCCCCCCCCCCTTCCCCATCCTCCACTCTGTTTTTTTCTTTTTTTGGCCCAGACCTTCTTTGGGGAAGGGAGCTTCTAGTGAGGCACCCTCTCACATTCTAGTCTTAGAATTCCTTGGGGCGCTGAGAAGGAAAGTGACTTTCCCAACATCATGTAGCTGGGATGTGTAAGACAGACCTCTTCTGACTCGCAGGCCATTTCTCCACCCATTCTGCCTTGCTGGCCCTTCCATCAGCCATTCTTCACCCTTGTCCCACAGCCCAGGAGGCTACAGATTCCCCGAAGATGGTTGTGGCCGGGACATCCATAAGGACGCAGCCACAACCGAGTGGAATGCTACTACCCCCTGCTCCCCAGCAGAGCATTTAGAAAGTACAACTCAGTCGAGTAGAAAGATCCCTTGCGCTGGGATCCAGACCCAGCTTTGGGTGACCTTGGCTGGGCCTCAGTTGACCTCTCCAGGCAGACGGGGATAGTGAATAATTTGTACCCTGCGTATGTTACAGGGTGCCTAGGAGAATCAGGTGAAACAGTAACGTCTGAGAAAAGTGCCCCGGACAATCCTGAGGCGCCATCCGCGTAATGGGTGCTCAGTGAAGGGCTATCCATGACCAAAAAGTGTAAAAGGTCGCTCTTGCTCTCACCTCCTCGCCCTTGGCAATGATCTTCCTGTGGGTCAGGGCTTCCTTCAGCATAGAGCCATCTACCTGAAGCAGCTGCCGACAGGAAACATGGCAGGGTCAGGGACTCAACCTTGACGTCGAGGCCAAAGCTGATCTCCCCTCCCTTCAGGGCACTGGGGCCACTCACTTACCCGGGTCAGGTACTTGATCTGATTCTCTGTGGTCACCTGGGCATTGCTCTGCTCGTCAGCGGCAAAGTGGATATTGCCCAGATGCAGCACACTGGCCACAATGCTCAGCAGGTCCTGTGGAGAGGGAGGGCCCCCATTAGGGACGGCTGAGGGTTCCATGGCAGCCAGGGACAGGGGCCATTGGGAGGAGGAGGCCAGAAGAAGGGGGGAAGGAGGAGGAAGATGTCAGAAGCAGAAGGGAGGAAGCCAGAGGCAGGCGGGGGAAGAGAAGGAGTGAGGGAACTGGGGGCAGGGGGGAGGAGGAGGAAGAAGAGGAAGAGGAGGAGGAGGAAACAAGGGGCAAGGGAGGTCATGAGCAAAGGCGGAAGGCGGGAAGAGTGATCACAAGCAGAAGGGAGTTTCAGGAAGCAGGGGAATTCCAGGCAAAAGAGCAGGGCTTGGGGGGAGGGAGCATTCCATTGGGCCTCCTCACCTCGATGTCATCTTCGTTGAAGTCGATGACAGAAAGAGCTTTCCTGACCACCTTCCAGTCACTCTTGTCATTGATGGATGTGACCTTGGCACATTGACCCTGCAGGAAGGGTAGGGGAAGAGTGAGCCTCTGCTAGAGTTCCCCCCTCCTCCCATCCCCCATCCCAGCCTCACACCAAGTTTAACAGCTTGGATGGCCACAGTAACAGAAAAGAATTGTGGGTATCTCTTAGCCCCATTCCCACGGTCCTGTTCTTCTACCCCCTTTCACCTTCACCAGGTACAAGTAGCTCTGGGGATTCCTCTCCAGACCTAGCCTCCGAAGTATCTCTTCCTCCCCTCCCTCCAGCAGTTGATAGAAGATATGGAAGTTTCTCTCCCCGTGATTTTGGTGAACGACTCGGGATTTTTCCAAGAGGTAACTGAGGATGTGTCCACCTACAGGGGCCCCCTGAGGAACAGGGGATGGGAGACGTGGTTAGAGCCAGAAGCAGGGGATAATGGGCACTTATACAGGACCAGAGATTTAGAGCCAAGGGACCTGAGAGGTCACCGAATCCAATGCCTTCATTTGACAGATGGGGAAATAGAGGCGCATATACAAGAGAGTCAGGGTGATTGGAGGGAGGAGGATGCTGGCATCTTGAGGGGATCAAGAAAGCCCCTGAGTGGGGCAGCTAGATGGCCCAGTGGATAGAGCACTAGCCCTGGATTCAGGAAGACCTGAGTTCAAATCTGGCCTCAGACACTTGACACTTACTAGCTGTGTGACCCTGGGCCAGTCACTTCACCCCATTACCTCACACACACTAAAAAAAAAGCCCCAGAGAAAGGTGGAGGAGATATGGAACAGAAGAGAGAAGAGTGGAGAGCTTAGGTTCACTCCCGTACTCCCTCATTCATTCACTGAGATCAGGACTTGGTCTATTACACAGTGTGCCTGCCCTCAAAGAGCTTCCAGTCTAGCTGGAAGTAAGAAGAGGCAGCGAGCTCCAAGTGAGAACATCTTCCACCATATCCCCAAGAGAGATCACGCTCCTCCCCATCAGTACCCTTGCTGGTCACCCCCCATACCTTGAAGTCAAACTGTACGTCCATGTATTTGCCAAATCGGCTGGAGTTGTCATTTCGAAGGGTCTTGGCATTTCCAAAGGCCTGGGGTGGGAGAAAGGGGAGGAGCTTTAGAGGAAAAGTCTCCCTCTACTGGAGATCAGTGATCTCTTTCCCAGACCCCACGTCCTCCCACTACAGCTTCTGCTCCTTAGCCCCCACCCCCCACCCCGCCAGGCCACCATTTTCCCGCTGCCCTTGGAGTCCCCCCTACCTCCAGCACAGGGTTACTCTGGAGCAGTCTGTCCCTTACGGCCCCTCCCCGCTCACTGGCAGGGCAGGTCTCAGCATAGAACTGCAGCAGCTTCTTGGTGGCCTCAGTCTTGCCTGCCCCACTCTCCCCGGATATCAGCACAGCCTGGTCCCTTCTCTCCGTGCGCAGCGCCCGGTACACCGTGTCAGCCACAGCAAACCTAAAGGGGCGTGGGGGTCAGACTGGGGGTGGGGGAAACACTGGGGGGGGAAGGTCAGACTGGGGGACATAGGGGGAGCAAATGTGAGGGAATGGGGGTCCCATGGGGGGAGGTGGAATTTGTGGGCGGGGTTCACAGGTAGATGGCTGGGGGATCACAGGTCAGGAAGTTACTTACTGACAGTCACCCAGGAAGGGGACATAAGGGAGGTGAAGGGGTTAGGGGTTCCAGGTCTATGTAATCAGGAGGTCAGTACCCAGGAAAGGTCACACTGGTTGGAAACCAGAGAGGTCACTCACAGGTGCGGGGGAACCTCATAGAAGCTGACACCCCGGTAACGTTCCATGTGCTGCCGGCTGTAGATCTGGAGGTCCCGGTAAGGGTTGACAGAGACCAGCACGGGTCCAATATAGGTCTGCAGAAGGGGGGACAGGACGAGAAGGTGAGGGTTCTCCAAAATGCTCCTGTAGCCTCCCTGCCCTCAGGTCCCCAGGCACCCATCCACCCTCACCCCCCCTCTCATTCCCTGGGGTCTTACATAGATGAGGTTTTCACGGAAGCGCCGTCTCAGGTTCTCGATGAACGCAGCTTCACTAGTGAAATTCTCAAGTAGCACAAAGTCCTGGACCCCAACACGGTCCCTCGCAGTCAGGGCACTCTCCATGCTGGTGATCCGTACTCCGTCACTACCGAGAGCCTGGGGAAGAACATCAGAGAGGTCTGTCAGAGCCCGGCTCCAGGGACGGAGGTCGGGGGAGACAAGGTATTCACCACATGGGAATGAAGGTGTCATCTATGAGGAAGCCTGGGGAGATAAAGATCATTGGAGAAGGGGGGATACCAGCATCCACGGAGTGCCCAGCGGGGTAAGGGACTGATTCTGCCTCAGAAGTGTCTCCTCCTTCCCATGTCGAGTGTCACTGGCTCCCTCAGAGCCTCTGACTAAGACTCTTAACCGACTCTCAGTCTCTCTGACCTCAGCCTTTCCCCTCTCCAATTCATCTCTTATAGTCGTCAAGATAATCTCACACTCACACACAGACATCACTCCCTGGATCAAGAACCTTCAACAGCTCCCCAGTGCTCACTGAACAAAATAGAGGCCCAAGGCCCTCCACAATCTTACTCCCTTGTCTGTTAATTATTCAACAGACATTTATTAAGCACCTACTACTGCTAAGTGCTGGGGATACAAGGCAAAGGTAAGGAAGTCTCTGACTCAAGCAGCTTACATTCCATCAGAGGAGACAACACACACATGTAGAATTCTATGCAAAATAAACATCTAAATACAAGATAATGTGATGTGGAGGCACTAGCAACTGGGGGCACCCCAAAAAGCCACATGGAGAAGGTGACCTTTGACTTGAACTCTGAAAGAAACTTGGAGTTCTTTTTCTTTTGGCAATTGGGGTTACAAAGCTAGTAAGTATTAAGTGTTTGTCTGAGGTCGAATTTGAACTCAGGTCCTCCTGACTTCAGGGCCAGTGTTCTATCTGCTACGCCACCTAGCTGCCCCCAAAACTTGGTATTCTAATAGCTAATATTTATGAAGGCCTTTAAGGTTTGCAAAGTATACATACATAATATACACATATGGTATACATACACGTATACCTGTGTCTATGTGCACATATGTCTGTACACATATGGGTATGTGTGCATATATACACCTATGTATACGCGCACACGCACACACACACACACACACACACACACACACACACACATATATAACTAAGACAGAGAGAGGTGAAGTGATTTGACCAGGGTCACATAGCTACTAAGCATTTGAGACAGGATTTGAACCGAGGCCTTCCTGATTCCAGGTTCAGCACTCTCCAGCTTCTACACGACCCACCTGCCTCAAAGTCTCCCATGCTAACAGAATGGAGAAGAGGATGCATTCTAGCATGGGGACAGCAAATACAGCATTTGGCTACATTGTTAAGTTTGTGGAGGGGAGTAATGTAGAATGAGGCTGGAAAGATAGTTGGAGCCAGGTTGTTGAGGGCCTTGAATGCCAAACAGAAGTTTGTAGTTGACTAGAGGGAAACCACCGGAGTTTACTGAGTAGTGCAGTGATGTGGTCAGACTTGAAATTCTTTTTTTTTGTTGTTGTTGTTTTTGTTGTGTTTTTTTTTTCAGTTGGGCAATTGGGGTTAAATGACTTGCCCAGGGTCACACAGCTAGTAAGGGTTATGTGTCTGAGGCCAGATGTGAACTCAGGTCCTCCTGAATCCAGGGCCAGTACTCTACCCATTGTGTCACCTAGCTGCCCCCTCAGACTTGAAATTCAAGAAAAATACTGGTGATAGGGATAAGGATCAGATCTGTGATCAATCAATCAATCACATTTATTAAGCACCTTTTATGTGCCAGGCACTGTGCTAAGCACTAGAGATGCAAAAGGCAAAAGACAGTTCCTGCCCTCAAGGAGCTTATAATTTTTTTTTAATTTTTTTAAAATTTTTTTAGGCAATCGGGGTGAAGTTACTTGCCCAGGGTCATATAGCTAGTAAGTGTCAAGTGTTTGATCTGAGGCCGGATTTGAATTCAGGTCCTCCTGACTTCAGGGCCAGTGCTCTGTCCACTGCGCCACCTAGCTGCCCCTAAGGAGCTTATAATCTAATGGAGGAGAGTATGTGCAAACAAATATACACAAGGCAAGCTATATCCAGGACAAGTACGAAGTCATTAGTGAAGGGAAGGCACTGGAATTAAGAAGGGCTGGGGAAAGCTTCCAGCAGAAGATGGAATTTGAATGATGATGTCATTACTATAGCAAGTTCCCACAAGGCGAAACACCGTCCCTCCAATATCTGGTGTTAGAAAGGTGCCCAGAGCCCCGGGCAGTTAAATAATTCACCCAGGGTCACATAGTGCGGGTCAGAGGTACAAGCTGAGGCAGTCTTTCTGGCTCCAAACAATGCCAATGTGAAACAATATGGCGGAGAGACTGCAGGATCTGGGGTCAGGAAGTCCTGAGTTTGAATCTTACCTCGGACAACTAGCAGAGGATGGGCTGAGGTGGGAAGAGAAGCTTATTGCAATTGTGAGAGGGGACAGCCAGTGCTGTCATGGTCCTGTCTACTGGGGACATTCTACTCCAGTCAAACTGGGCTGCTCAGCCTTTCCTGCCTTCTCCCCTTTTCCAGCGGCAACCCTTGCACCTAGAATGGTCTCACCTCTTGGCACCCTTTTTTCAAGGCCCCACTGGAGGCCTTGTAGCCTCCCCAGCTCTGACTTCTATGAATGGAACCACCTTCCAATCTATATTACGGTTAATTGTTTACTCATTTCCCCCTCCTCCAACCAGATGAAAAGCTCTATTGAGGTAGCATGGTATACTGTAACGGACAGAGAGATTTGAAGTCAGGACAAATCCAGGTTTGAACCCTATGTTCGACACTTCCTTAGAGGAAAACACAAAACTAACACATGTTGGAGGAAGCGTGGCATGCTGGGAAGAGCTCTGGACACGAAGGCAGTATTATCCAGGCTCTGCTGTTTACGATTTGGGTGACCTTGGACAAGGGGTTTCAGTTTCCTTCGCTGGAAAATGAGGGAGAGAATTCAGTGGCCTCTCCAGTTCCTGCCAGCTCTAAATCTATGACTTATGTAGTCATAGTGAACCCCATGTCACCAAGCCTCAGTTTCTTCATCTGTAAGACAGGGATAAATATCTCTAGAGATGGTATCTATCTCACAGGGACTGTGATCCTCAAATGAGATAATGTATGCAAAGGTCTTTACAAACCATAAAATGACATATAAATGTCAATTATTACAATCATCATGATGTCCTCAAATGGCGGGAATGAGCACTGGACTTAAGTCAAAGACTGTACAAGTCCCAGGTTTGACACTTCCTAGCTGTGCAATGGTAGTCAAGTCACTTCATTGACTAAGCCTCAGCTTATATGCACATCTGTAAAATGGGTATAATCACAGGATCACAGATTTCAAGCTGGAAGGGACCTCTGAAGTCATCTAATCCAACCTTCTCTCTTGACAGAGGAGGGAAATGAGACCCAGAGAGGAAAAGTGGCTTGCCCCAGATGGAATGACAGAGTCATAGGATTCAAAACTAGACCCTCTGACATCACATCCAGAGCCCTTTCCGCTGTTCTGGGCCCAATGCCACACAGGTAGGAAGTGGCAGAGTCAGGATTTGAACGCAGTTCCTGTTACTACAAGTTCAGCGGCTCAGCTACTGTACAGGATTGCTGTGGACTCTTTGTCAACTCGAATATGCTATAGAAATGTGAGCTCCGTTGGAGACCTTTGTTCTCCCAACATGTATCATGCTCCCTTGCATACAGCAGGCACTTCATAAATGTCTGTTGAATTGAAAAGTACCCTAAAGACCATCTTGTTTCATCAAGGCCTGACATAGTCACCCTGACATACCAGAAAAGTGGTTGTCCTTGAAGACCTCCAAGGAGCTAGAGCCCGTGACCTCCAGAGGCAGCCAGTGGTGACCTCCTCTTGAGCAGCTCTGTTAGGAAGTTTCCTCCCTCCCCAAATCAGGCCTCAATCGGTCTCTTTGCATCTTCCCCCTATCAGGGTTCCTGATTCTTTTCTGAGAGGACCATCAGAACAAAGCTAATCCCTCTCCCACCAGGAAGCTCTCTCCAATTCCTTGAATGGGCCTCCCTAGACATAAGAGCCACTTTGGGCAGGTATTCAGGATGGATGCAAAGTGCAGTGAAGTTAAAGCCTCCAAAGAGGGAGGCAACTTCCTCTCTCTTGACCTCCCCCAAGCATTCCTGAGGACCAAACCCGGGGAGCCTCTCCCTAAGCAGGAGACTTGAACTTGGAGTTCAGGGATAAGGAAGATAAAAGTCCAGCTTAGTAAGCACTTTGGATAAGTCAGACAAGCAGGAGAGACAAAGGCAAAATGAAAACAGTCCTTGTCCTCCAGAAATGGGGATGGGGATGTTCACAGATCCATCAGACCACCAGTATTTACCTAGATACCCCAGTAACAGGCCCTGGAAATATCAGGAAAAACACACATAGAGAATTATATACAAACTACATACAAAATGAATATCAGGGAATCTGGGCCCTGGGAATCCAGAAAAGATAGACCAGAGAGAAACACAGGCTATACATACAAAATGGATACAGTGATCTGGGAGGCCATCACAACTGGGGGAATGAGGAAAAGCCTCCTAAAAGGTTTGCACTTTCTCCCCCACTATGTATGCATCCAAGGTGAGAAGCCCCACCCTGCCAGCTGCCCTTCCCAGGGCATCTCTCCTCCCTGAGGGGCTCCCCTAGAAAGCCTAGATCTGACTCAACAAGCTTTCCTTGCCCAGTCTGTAACCACCCCCACACAGGCTACAGGTGCCCCGTAACAGCCCTGGAGGCTATTTCATCAGAAAGAACAGCTGCCTCCCAGCCCACCCCCAAGCCCCGAGGGCCAGCAGAAAGCACCAGGGTCCAGCCAGGGGCCAACAGAGATGCACCACATAACCTGGTGCTTTGCCTCTATCCTCACGAGGCAGGCCTTGAAGGGCTCACAGGGAGCAGGAGAGGTGCAGTTCCCACAAACTCTGGATTTGGAGACCCAGGACCTGGGTTCAAATTCTAACTGCCACTTACTGCCAGTGTAACCTTGGACAAGTCATTGCACCTTAATTTCCTCATCTGACAAATGGAGGGATAGAACTTCTAAGAACTTGGAAT